ACTTTATGACCTCATTCTTTTTGAAATGGAAAGCTTTCACCACAAACTTCATAATGTGTCAAGAAAGGTAGAATTTGGATGCTTGAGTAAAAACTTATGATAAATTGAAATCGTGAAAAACACACTAAATTATTGACTTAGAAAAATTTCAAGTTTTAAGTTCAAAAGTGACTTATAATCTCTTGCCTTCAAACACGGCCTTCCACTCAAAATTATGTTTTGGTCAATGAAGATGGAATGAAGTAGACTTCTTAAAGAGCATTGTGAAACTTGAATAATCCAAAAACTTCAAAAATTGAGAGAGTTATGACCTTGTGAAGTTGATGGAAATTCATGAAGTGACCTATATCTTTTGAACTCTTAAGGCATCTTCTAATCATTTTCAAGCTTTGAACATAAAAGAAGAGTTAAAGCTCACACCCTTAAGATAATTATGGAAATAGAATGGGCTCAAGGAGATAAAAATTGACCAAGTTATGATCATTTGAAGTTAAACCCTAAAATTTAAAAGACCTTTCAAGGAGACTTGTAATCTTTCTCAGTCATTAATGATCTTCCATTCAAAATTAGACTTAAATTTCTGAAGAGAGATTTTTAAGGATCATTTAAATAGAATAATGGCTTTTGAATCACTCAAATCTCAAAAAATAAGTAATATATGGTCCTTGGGAATCAAAGAAACAAACTATTTTGGCCCAGTCTACGATGGAGTCTGAGATGATAGCGTTGCAACTGCTAGTGAATAAGTAGGTTTGTTAATATGCTTGCTAGTTGAGATTCCTTTATGGAAAAAAAACTATGTCAGTTGTGTTGATCCACTGCGATAGTACTGCGGCTATTGAAAAAATTGAGAACTGCTAATATAATGGTAAATGATGTCAAATTTAGAAGAAATTACAAAACTATTAGAGACTCTATCTCTAAAGGAGTTGTAAGGGTGGGTCGTGTACGCACATGTTTCATTACAAAACACACCAAAAAACGTTCTTGAATTTTTCCTTCCTCACTCATAATTCATCGTCTTTTGAATTGTCGAAGCGCCAACTTCCCACCTCCCCCCTTTCTTTCTACTAGTTGAATTTTTTGAATACTTTCTTGAATTCTCTTTAGAGAATTATGTTAATTTCTCCTCGTTTGATTTGAGAAATTATCAAGTATAATTTTTAGATTTTCTTTAGGGAATTATTTGAACTTCTCTCAGTTTGAGAAATCACTTTGAGTGCTAAAATGACCATTATTTAATTCTTTTTGGAAAATTATTGGAATTTCTCTTAGTTTGAGAAATTATTACGGCTAGTTGCTATATCCGACAATACGAGTGATATTTATACCATATTCAAATGCTCTTTGTACCATCAGAAGGTGTATTTTTAGACCGATTATATATCATGCAAGTAGTAATCGTATAATATAGAACTGAACTGTTTTATTCTGGAGGTAGCGTGGTTGAGTGACTGTTTTGTATTATTTTGAACAATGCCACGAAATGTCTTAAAGAGAGCAAACTGTTCCGCGACTCATCTCAGTAATTTCTTTAGTGAAAAAAATTTTTATCGTAAAATAACATACATTTTACACAATAACAAATAAAATTATAGCATGACATATTTTACTACTTCAATATTTGACAATACTTTACTCAACTTTTATAAATGAGTAGATAAGAATTTGCATTATTATTTTTCTATTTTTTAGGAGTATTTAGATAGTGTATAATAGTTTATAAATTCAACACCTTTCTTTTTCATTTTTTATATTGCACATCATCTTCTATTTCTTTCCCCTAATAATTCAATACTCATTCAACTTTTACTTACTACAATGATTTTATTTTATAAAATTCAACATCCTACCCCACCACTTTTATTTCATATTTATATTTTCTTTTATATTTTTGTTTTTATGATTTTATATTAATATCAATTATCGATTGACATAAAATTAAAATAATTAAGAGTTAAATAATTTATTTTATTTTATTTTTCTAATTTAATAATGAGATTAATTACTATACACTGTCAGTGTAAAATTCTTTACAAATCAGTGCATCACAACTATTCATAAATATTATTTTATAAATAATTAAAATAAAAATTAAATTTCAATAAATATTTAACGGTCGCGATTCACTGACAGTGTAAAACTGCTTTGCATTGTCGGTGCATACCAATTAAATTCTTTAATAATTTATTTGAATTTTTTTCTAATTTTATATTTTTAATTTATTTAATTTTTTTTCTAATTTTATAAGAATAATCATTATTAAAACAAATAAAAGTGGATAAAACAAAAGTTTATTAGGAGTTAAATAGAAAAAATAAATTTTTTTGTCCAAATCAAATGAATCAAATCTCGATTTGTAAACAAAAAAATGGTAAATTTTGATAAAAAAAAAATAAAAAAAAATTAATTTATTATAAAATAAATGATTCCAAATAATTAAGTGAATTAAAAATTTAAACAATCACAACGATTAATAAAATTTTATATATGACTTCACCTCTTTTTCATATATTTTCAACACCAATTACTCTTCCTCATTTTCAATCATTTATTCAACATCTCATTATACTTATTTAATTGTTAAATCATTTTTTTAACACCTTTATTTTACATATTCTTAGGAGAATGAAAAGCAGCGTGATACAGGTGTTGCGTAATGATGAGACGTCAGCCAAAGATGCAGTGACGAAATATATTGTTCCATTTACCTAATCACCTCTTTTGTTTTTTGTTTTATTCACTTCTGTCCATTTCTTTATTCCGTACGGCTCATTTCACACACACACATATATATATATATATATATATATATATATATATATATATATATATATATATATATATATATATATATATATATATATATATATATATATATATATATATATATATATGAAAATGAATAAACTTTGAAAATATAATAATAATTATTTATTTTATATTTAATAGTTAAGATTAAAATATTTTTTAAAATTTTGATTAATGATGCATATTTGTTACTGCGTTTCTGTCAAAGAACTTTAAGAAAAAGGTTGTAAATCTTGTCAAATAATACAATGATTTTTTTCCAAAAGATTATGTTGAAATTTCAGATTTAAACTTAAGATTAAACTTATCATTAACACAAAACTACGTTTCATCTAATTTGTCTCTTATAATCATATCATCACATCTCTGTTTGTGTATAATAGTCTCAGCAATAATGAGTGCTTTAACCTTTTCAATAAAAAAAATATAATTGTACTAACAAATATTATAATGTTACTCTTAATTTAAAAGAAAATCATGATTTCAAATTTCGTTCCGGAATTACAATTGCGAGTGTAATATTGTTGATGCGTTAGTCCTCTCAACTGCATCAAACTATATTTATATCATAATTTTAAAATCGCAAAGTCAGTAAACATTAAAATCTCTATCACACAAGTTCCTCTTTTTTTCTTAAAGTATTTTCATCAAAATTTATAGTTTAAGAACTCAAAAACTCAATTCACTTATGATATAATGAAATAGCATCAACAATCGCAACAGTAACGGCATCCGCGACTACAATCACAATTTAAAACCGAAGAGAAAATGGAAGTGAACTAAAGTTGTTTTCTTTTATAAAATTGTTCAATTGACTTTTGATATGAGTACAAAGTGATTTATATATAGATCACAAGATAGAATATTAAATGTTACATTAACTATTTTTAGGTCTCAAAGGAATAAATTTTTCACTGTCTAAAGAGAATCTGTCTTTTGCACTATCCAATGCAGATTTGAATTTAACCAACAAAACTCTCCTATAAATTCAAATATTTCTTTGATCCATCATGCCTAGCATTTTCTTGCCTTTGTCGAATAGCTCCTTTGACAATGGTTTTGTAAGAATGTCTGCTGCTTGATCCTTGCTTGCAATGTGCTTCAGTTTGATGCTTTCATCCTTCACATGTTCTCGAATAAAATAGAATCTAACATCAATGAGTTTGCTCCTTTCATGATTGACTGGATTTTTCGCCAGTTCGATTGCAGATTTGTTGTCGACTTGAATTATTGTTGCATCTTTCTGTTTCGACTCCATATTTCACCTCGAAGAGTCTGCAAGCGAACTTGCTTGACTTTATCTGCTCCTTTGAAAGCATTTTCTAGCGTGTCCCACGCTTCTTTCGATGTAATCGAACCAACAATCTTTTCGAAAACTGATTCGTCGACTGCTCTGAACAGCATGTACAATGTTGTTTTATCCTTTGCTCGCGTTTCTTTCAACGCCTTGTTCTGAGCAGCTGTGTTTGCCATCGTATTTGATGGTTCTTCAAACCCATCGTTAGTTACTTCCCATACATCTAACGATCTCAGAAGTGCCTTCATCTGAATACTCCAGTTCTCATAATTCGACTTTGATAGTCGTGATAGTGGCATTTGACCCATCATGTTTGCCATGCACTCTGATACCAATTTGAGGAGAAAATGGGAGTGGACTGAAGTTGTTTTCTTTTATAAAATTGTCCAACTGATTTTTGATATGAGTACAAAGTGATTTATATAGAGATCACAAGATAAAATATTAAATGTTACAGCATTAACTATTTCTATGTTTTAAAGGAATAAACTTCCCACTATCCAAAAGAGAATGTCTTTTGCACTAATTAATGCAGATTTAAATTTAACCAACAAAAATTCCAAATAAAACATCAAAAATTGTACTGTGTTTGCAAGAATAATTTAAGAAGACTTACATTGACTTGTTGTCCGACATACAATGATACAACTATATTTGTGTGGTATATTTATCATTTAATTAGATTCCTTCGATTTAAATAATGATATCAGCCAAAATTCGCTATGATGAAGCCCTATGAATCATGTCCTTATATTGATCACAAACTTTGAAGCAGCGAAGAAGTAACCGAGAAACTTCGTCTTTAACTCTTTCTCTTGGAACCTTCCTTTCCTTCATGGTTCCGCCTGTCATCAATCAGTTATTTTTTATTCTTAATTAATAAATATTGAACATGGAGATCAGTGGTAGTAGCAAGAAGAGGAAAATAATTTGCTGTGATGAAGAGGATGAAGAAAAACAAAAGGAAGACGAAGCGAAAATGGAGACTTTCTTTGCTCTAGTGAGAAGCATGCGCAAGACACGTGACAGATGGAAGAACAAAATGAACGGAGATATAAAGGGACAAAATGGAGTTGTTGCTGCTGTTTGGAAACCTACGTTTCAACTAGAAGATTTTGCAGAAGAGGGTGCTGATCACAGTGATCATTGCCGAAACCGAGACGCTAGGGTTGGCATATTCGAAGGTGTGTCTACAAAGAGCAATAATAAGGAAGATGATGCAGAAAAGGATATTGACTTGAACTTGAAGCTTTCACTTTGATAATGGTGATGCATATGCACCAAAGTGATCGTAGCTAGATTTTCTGTTGTGTGTGTGATGTAATATATGATGTCTTTGCCTAACTAATAGTTTTAGTACCGCATTCTCTGTAATTAACTTCAAGTGATTTAAAGGAATGTTTGTGTCTGCTCTGAGTTCAATAAATAAATACCACTTCAAACCGTCTGTAGAATTTCCCTTGATCATGTTTTAAAAAAGAAGAAGAATTCAACTTCTTATGGTTACGAGTGAAGGGAAATTCATGTCGGTCTCTTCCAGCCCCTCCCTATTTCTCAAAAAAATAAAGTCTTTGGGTTGATTTCAAACGAAGACAGTCAATCACTGGTTGAGATGAGACCTTTGGGTATCAAAAAGCTTTTGCTAAGTGTATTCCTTAGTTGGCTAGAGCAATAGTTTTGTCCAATTTCTATGCTTGCACTGGTCAAGAGTTTTGTATCAGAGAGAAGAAACTTTCTTTCAAGGGTGAAGCGTTAGAGAAGGAAATGGGGGAGTGTTTATTGATATTTTTAATAAATCAAATGATAAGTTTTACTTCATTTAATGGATTAAATTTTATTAAAAAAAATCATAAAGACAATTTGTGTAGAAAAGTATAAAGAAAAATGTTTGTGATTGGAACTTAGATGTTTGAATGTTGACAAACTAAATTTATAAGAAAAGTTTCTCTAAATGATATGAAGTTGTGACGTGATTATTAGGTGGCTAAAAAAATATTGTTGCGACGTGATAATCACATTACTAAAATTTTTAATATTAAAATAAAGATAACGTAAATATGGTGGGACTCAGAGTTTTTTGAAATAAAAATATTTGCGACATGAGATTCATGTCGCAACTAAAAAGTTAATATAAAAAAAAACTCTAACGTTCAAACGGAGGGAATTTTAAAAAATTTTAAAAATTTAGTTGTGACGTGATTATCACGTTGCAACATTTGAGAGGAAAAACATCTGATTGAGAATTGAATTGGTTCAGAGTTGTACAGACTGAGCGGATAATATTGACATTTGAGTGTGTTGCGATGTGAATATCACGTGGCAAGGTTGCGACATGATTTTCACGTCGTTATGTGGCGTATATATATTTAACAATCTCGTTCACAGATGCATATCATTCCCCCTTCTATTTCTTCGTTTCCATCTCTCTTTCCTTAATTGTTCCACCTCCACCGTAAATATTCTGCAAATCTTTTCAAATTCTGTAATTTTATTGATATAGGTATTGTTTTATATAATTTAACTTCAATATATTTATATAATTTTGTTTATTGTTTATTTTATTTTCTAATTAAAAATTTAATTTTATTTGTTTTGTCAAAATTGAAGAACATTGACAAGTTTAGAAAAAATTGAAGAAAAAGATTGATTGAAGGAGATTGAAGAGGTATTTATGCAATTTTAAATTTAATTTAATTTTATATATAACTTGGATTTTATTCTATTTATAATATTATTATAATTTTTTTATTCTGTTTATAAATTGATTTGTTACTCTTTTAATTTTTATATATAAATAGGGTATATATAATATTACTTTTAGTTATATATATATATATATATATATATATATATATATATATATATATATATATATATATATATATATATATATATATATATATATATATATATATATATATATATATATATATATATATATATATATATATATATATATATATATATATATATATATATATATATATATATATATATATATATTAACGTTTTTTATTTTTTATTTTTTTTATAAATATTTTTCAAAATAGAATATAATATTTGTCTTAATGAAAAAATTTATATTTTAATAAAAAAACAAGATGAATATAATAGTTATGTATAAAAAAATATTATTAATTTTTAAAAGCAGAATTATAAATGAAATATAGTTTCAAAATAGTAATAAAGTTTAATTATAGTTACTATAGTTAAATGTTTATTTATAGTTAATAATAAGACAATGATTGTATAAATGTGCAGTATGGAATATTTTCGGTATGGTCGTAGTTGGATGTACGATAGATTGTATTCAGGAAGACGTGCACTTAAACTCCATTTTATAGAAGGAGTTAATGATTTTATGATGTGGGCGTTTGCTCAGGAATATTGTCGAAGCGAAGGAAGAGTTATGTGTCCATATCTTAAATGTGAATGTAGACCAATAATTAGTGACCTAGAGGAAGTAGCACGTCATTTTCATAAAAGGGGTTTCATTGAAAATTATTGGGTTTGGACATATAATGGTGAAGAACTACCGAGTAATGTACCAGAGACTAGCAACACGCATGCTTTAAGTAGTCGACTGTCTATGGAATATGAGAAAAACTTTAATCTGACCGGTGAGATGGTTGAGGATGCTTTTGGTGTGAATGTGACATATGATCAACCTGAAGATTTTGACCGGGAAAAGTTGTCGAATGAGGAAGCGCAGAGATTTTATCAGTTGTTGAATGAGATGAATACGTCGTTGTTCGATGGATCGTCAAACTCAAAGTTATCATTGTGTGTGAGATTATTATCCGCCAAGTCAAATTGGAATATTCCTGATCAGTGTTTCAAACATTTCGCAAAAATAATATTGAACTCCACCGCTACGAAAGACAACTTACCTACAAGTTTTTATGATGCAAAGAAGTGGGTGTCAAATATGGGTTTAAAGTAAGAAAGATCGATTGTTGCATTAGTGGTTGCATGTTGTTTTATGACAATGAGTTTGGTACTCAAGATGGATTGTTGGAGGAATGTAAGTTTTATTGGCACACATACTTCGTGAACGGATATAAATTTCACACTGATACATGGACTGAAGGGAAAAAAAACCAAAAACAGTGGTGTATTTATAAAAGGAGTTACAAATGACGGTGAAGATGACTTCTATGGATTTGTTAAACATATCTACGAGTTGGTATACAATTACTTGGACTCGAAAAATGAAGTTATCTTGTTTTATTGTGAATGTTATGATCCAACTAGAGGCACAAAAGTAGATAAGTCATATGGTACTGTTGAGATTCAAATGGATCGAAGGTACAAAGAGCATGACCCTTTCATAATGTCACATATTGTTAGGAAAGTTTATTATGTTCCTTATCCTTCATTTGTACCATGTAAACGAGGATGGTGTGTTGTAATAAAAACAAAACTGATGTGTCATATTGAAACTGGAGATCTAGTGGAAGATGCTTCTTACCAAGTTGATGAAGTTGAGAAAATTAATGATGTGATTGCAGATGAACAAATTACAAGTTTGTTTCATACAATGGTTGAGGGACATCAAGTTGATGCATCTATTTTGTTAGTTGATAATAATGTGGACGAAGAGCATGATGAAGAGTTTGGATCCGAGGACAATATCACATCAGATGATGAGAATGATATGGATGACGAGCATGAAGATTTAGAATAATGAACTATTTATTTAATGTGTTAACGAATATGTATTGATGAGAATAATGAATCATCTATTGAATATGTTAATGAATATGTATTGATGAGAATATATTTTTCAAATTTATTATTTTTGTTGATGAATATATATATATATATATATATATATATATATATATATATATATATATATATATATATATATATATATATATATATATATATATATATATATATATATATATATATATATATATATATATATATTTATATATATATACTGTGTATTCTATATAAATAGGTAAAATGCCACCTCGGATTGATAAGAGTAAGGATAGTGGTAAGAAGTTCCAATTCCCGAGGTTAGTAACATGTGAGGCACCTCAGTCGACCACATGTCCTCCCCCGTAGAGTCAGGTTGATCCTATGTCCATAGCCAGTACTCAAAATTTTATGCCATTACTCTCCTCTCAAATTATGCCATTCCCATCTGGGAATTCGTCTTTTATTAGCCCGTATGGGGGTACCATCTTTTGTTAGGCCACCCGGTTTTCTTTTCCCGCAGACCCAGATGCCCTCATCCTTCCAGCATATTGGAGGACCCAGTTTTCCATATTCCACATAGATGCCCTTATCCTTCCAGCTGACTGGAGGATCCAGCACCTCACACCCCGCACAAATGCCTTTATCCTTCTAGCAGACTGGAAGATCCAGCACCCCACATTCCACACAAACTGGAGGATCCTGTACCCCACATCCCACATAGACTAGAGGATCCCGCATCCCACACATGTACCTGCACGTGAGGATGATCATGCACAGTTGAATGATGATGATGTGGATGGGGATGATGATGTGTTGGATGGAAATTATCTTTGAGAGAATGATGATCCGAGTGAGATTCATGTCATTGACGGAAGATTTTGAATTTGGCCCGAAGGAAGCTCGTAAGTTTCTTAGTTATAAATTTTTATTTAAGTATACATTTTTCTTTTTAATATAAATTTATATTTAATATTACTAATTCAAACTATTGTTGTTTAATTTCTCGCCTATCCGGACTGTTGCCAAGGTTATAAATTATATAATTCAGCAGATGTATAAACAATTTTGGAAGACCTTCAAAGACGTTAAAAATAAAGAAGCTTGGTTTAACAAATTTAAGGTATAATTAATTCATTTTTTAGTTATTGTTATTTAAATGACTTTTTTATTATAATTATCTAACTATTTATTTTAGTGTCATACAATATTGCAGGAAAATATGTGTGGGATCCATTGAACGAGAAGCTGATTAAAAAAATTATTATGGCAGAACGTCAAGACAACTTTCTGACATAATGCGACATGTTAGAGAGTGTTGGAAACTTCAGGGTATTCGTCCCAATTGTATAGGCAAAGAGGTTTTTGAGGAACTTCTTAAATATTGGGAGTCACCCGAATTTCAGGCTAAATCTGAAAATTTTAAGAAGATGAGGGCATCTGAAAAAGGGGGTTGCATTAATGCATTTGGAAGTATAATAACCACATAGCATGTTTGACGCATGGTAAATATTACCACTTTTTTAAGTTATATTTTGATTCATAATATAT